AAAAATGTGATTTTTTGTTTTAAATTAATTCGTTGATTAATTTGAAAAAAAGATCTAAATAAAAGATACAATTTTGATTCATTAAATTTTTCGATATTGAATATTTAATAAAAAGAAATACGAATGTGTACAAAATAATATAAAAAAAAATGTTTGTCTCTTGTTTTAAATCTCCCACTAAGGAAAGTGGTTGCTAAGCAGTTGTTATGTGGTTACTATGGACGCTTTACCGTTGCTACAGACGCTGTACTAATAGTTTCAGTGTAGTTTATAATATTTTTCTCAAGAACCAGTAATTATAGAATGATGCAATATGCAAATGAAAGCTTAAAATCATAGAAAATAAACACTATTTGCAAGTTTTCATGAACGTAATGGATTTCGAGTACTATTATTTCGAAAATGGATTAATTTATAATCCACAAAACTGCGCAAATTACAATCATGGCAATGGCATTCAAACTATGCATGCGGAGGTGCGATTAAAATGGCATTGAATTAGCGCAGTTCGGTGGATGGAAAATGCGACTCTCCGCATATCAGCTCAGCCATTGTGCGTTAATTAAAGCTCGCGCGTTTCCGTAACGCTAAAGGGCCGACGACGACGAGCGACGCTTTTGTTCCAAAGGTTTAAAGCAAAAAAAAAACCCTCTCGCAACCCTTAAAATAGTGCTGCCGCCGCCGCCGCCGCCACAGCCACCTTGCCAGTAGTAGACTATTACTACACAAGCGGAGGAGGCCTTATCTCAGGAGCTTTTAATGTAATATACTGCCGCGCAGCTTTAACTACCAGCTGCTTTAACACGTATTTCAGGCGTATTTATAACCCACGAAACGTACGGCCGAAAAGGCGAAGCCGGAAAGGGCTGCATCCATCCCCAAAAAATATATAAAAAAAATGTGTGCAAAACGCGCAAACTGCAAAATTACATCTGCAAGTAAATCACGCTAAACCTTAATTAGTTTGCTTCGAAATTCAACGTTTGCAAATATTCACATATTTTTTTTTGTGTGTGTGTGTGCTCATTCAAAGATCAAACGCTCTAAATAATCCGGCAGCATTTTTTTTTCCAGTTGTTTTCCGTTGTTGCTGCAGCAACAACAACAACAATACGGTAGTTGCTGTGGCAACAATCAAACGGATTCAAATATGGAACATGCTGAAAAGCGATGTTCGTATGAAATTTTAATCAGGATCAGGTGGATATTCATGTTTAATACCGTGCACTACTTTCCAGGCTCGCATAAATAACTAATTTATACATTGTTTTAATTTGCGACCAAGTTTATGGAATTGATTTTCAATGAAAACGAACCTTTTTGTTTAATGGGTTTCTTTTTTTTCACGACGGCAAAGTTTAACGAGAAAAATCGCAATTTCAATTGCTCCTGAAAACTCCTGTGGAGCAGAAAGAAAAGTGGATGCGATTTATGCGTCTGCGAGTCCGGAATTTTTAAGACCTTCCAACGTTTTTCCCTCCAGATTAATCCTTCGTATGGATCGTTTTTTTTTTTCCTTAGCTAATTGCTTCCGCCCATTCACTATTACAACAAGAGGGTTTTAAGAGTATTAAAATTAACTACTTGACTTTGAACAATCAATAAAAGTTAAGCAAGTCGTGACACGGTTACTAATTGAATAGATGATTTGAACTTTTGATATCTTAAGACAAATAACATATTCATTAAATTTACGAAAGTTATAATTTATAAAAGTTAATCAACTTGAATTGGTGATATATTATAACTTATTACAACTTAAGACAAATAACATAAACTAATTAAATTTAAATAATTTACAATAGTTAAAAAACTTGAATTGGTGATATTTTGTGAGAAAATAAACGTTATTGAAACTCAGAGTTAATAGAAAAAAAACCTCCAAAGAACCAAAAAGAAAAAAACACGCAGAAGAGAAAAATATAAAATGTAATTTAAAAAAATGAAGCCAAAAGTTAATCAACTTGAATGGATGATATTTTATAACTTTACACAACTTAAGATAAATAACATAAACTAATTAAATTTAAATAATTTACAAAAGTTAAACAACTTGAATTGGTGATATATTTTTTTTAACTTTTGAGAACTTAAAGTAAAATAAACGTTATTTAAACTCATAGTTAATAGAAAAAAAAAACCCTCTAAACAATCAAAAAGAAAAAAAAAAACATGTAGCAGAGAAAAATATAAAATGTAATTTAAAAAAAGGAAGCCAAAAGTTAATCAACTTGAATGGATGATATTTTATAACTTTACACAACTTAAGACAAATAACATAAACTACTTAAATTTAAATAATTTATAATTTACAGTTAAACAACTTGAATCGGTGATTTTTTTTTAACTTTTGAGAACTTAAAGTAACTAATTATTGAAACTAATAGTTAATAGAATAAAAACCCTCTAAACAATCAAAAAGAAAAAAACCATGTAAAAGAGAAAAATATAAAATGTAATTTAAAAAAAAAGGAAGCCAAGAGTGAGAACAAATTACGAGCGCACACGCTCGGTGCTCGTGATTTATTTTAATAATATATTTCCGTACGCGAGAGGAATATTAAAATATAATTTATATCTTCGTACCAAAAAAATAAAATAAAAATATAAAATATCACATACAAATAACGATTAAATTCCTTATTTATTTAAAAAAAAAAGTCAACCATAATTACTATCATTCATAATTAAAACTCTCATCTAATCCTTTAAACTCTTATTAATTAATTGAAAATTAACGTTAATTTTTTAATTACAATTATTTACTTCTAATCTAGTCTGATGAATAATTTAATGTAACTTTTATTACTACATCTTTCCTTTCCTCAGCTCTAAACTAGAGATTTTTTTTGTAATACCCAAACCCATTAAATTAAATAGCGCTTCAAGTTTTAATCTCCTTAACGTTAAAACATTAAAAAAAAATAATTATTTTTACGTTTTATTTAAAAAAATTAAAACTTTATTACCGCATTAAAAAAATAAATACTACTTTCAATTACATACATTGATAATTCTATAGTTCACAAGAATTAACTGTAATTTGATATTTAAAAAAAAACGATAGTTGGGAAATGTGCATACAAAATGAAATTCTTTCATCTTTTTAACAAAACCCATAGATTTTGTTTTCTTTATTAAATTTCGATTATATATTTTCTTTTTCATCAACTCAAAAGATGGTTATTCCAATTCCAATCAGCTTTCAAAGGGCAATTTTTAACAAATAGAGGAAGGATTCGCTTGTTTAGTGTGTTTATAATGAAAATGAGGAAATCCCCCTTTTTTTCTCTCTTTCAGAGATCCGAATAATGGAAGGAAGGAAAGAAAGAACGAACAAACGCATGCACCGACGGCGATTGTTCAGCAAAGTGAAAGAGAGAAGCACAGCTTTGTTTGAACTGCGGGTTAAAAATACTGTTTGCCAGAATCTTTGTTTTCTTTGCTCCGCATTTTTTTACGCCTCACTTTGCCGGCATCAAATAGTGGCTTATTTTAATCTCATTGTTAAAAAAAAAATCAATACGTTTCAGGGTATTTCCAATAATTTACATTGAAATTTTTAAAATTCACTAATTTTTACAATAACTTAATTAATCAAAGTAATAGTAAGTTTTTTTTGGGTTAATGAAGAATAGAATAAACGATTTGTGATTGTGAATGAATGTGTTGAAGCATTAAGTGGAGTATGGAAACGCACACAGCTTCCGATTAAAATGGACCCTCGAGAATTTGGCTTTCAAATCTGCTTGTGGAAGCTGCGGAGTGTAAAGAAGTGAACACTGCTGGTTCGAGTCCTATACAATAACCCCATGCATTCACACAGAGAAAGAGAATACGTGTCGAGCAATCAATTGCAAATTACGAGGGTCATTCGGGGGCAAATGGTTTTTCGACAAAAAGGGGAGACAAAACGGGAAAATAATGGTTGTAAAAGTGGATGGCTTTTAATTGGCCTCGGTTTCCAATGAAATTTGATTTGAATCTCCTCCACCTCCACTCGTCCTCAACCGTAGAGCAGCAATCAAGTGATTTCCGCTAATTGATGGCACAACCGCAAAAAAATAATAATAAATAAGCGGAAATCTTTTTAAAACCTAACTCTCTCCCTCATTTCGTTCTGTTTTTATTTTACAATCCAATCAATATAGGGAAAGCAATCAGTTCAATCGCTGTTTCTATATTTACCGCATTCATTCTCAACGCGCTCCACCATAAAAACGTCGCATAAAATTGGAAATTCTTTTACAACAAAAATTAAAAAAAAATCAATTACATTATTGGTAAATTGCAGCTGCCTAAATTCTCATAAACATGCACAACAAACGATCAAAATTATTCGATTCATGAGATCAAAAGAATCAACAGTTTGTTACAATAGTTGGAAATCCCACAACACAATTGGTTCATATTTTATTAAAACTATATGAATTCATTCAGAATGGAAACAACAAATGTGCCTATTTTGTATTGCAAAGTGGATTATTGAAATATTTGTTATGTAAATATAAATCGTAACATTACAGAACATCTCGCAGGCAGCAAGTGAGACAAGACTTTCGCGAAAGTTCACCCCGGTATTAACTAATTCAACAGAAGCTAATTCAATTCGTTGTGCACACGAATACATTTCGAAAGGAAATTGCTTTGTCAAGTTTGTCTAAGCTTGCAGCAGCAGCAGTTAGGATGCAATACTAATTTGGATTATTCAAAAGTGAAAAAAATGAACAATCACAAGGACAAATTATAAAAACTATTAATTTACAAATAAGCTGTAATTTTGATCTTCAATCATTTAAGAAATTAATGTGAAATGCGTCACAATAAGCAAACTCACAAATATCGATTGTGACTTCATCAAAATCTATATAAACTTCGCAGTAATAACGGAGATGAGCGAGGAAACGACGGAGGGTAAATCTCAAGGTATTTAGGGGACAAATCGTCGTCGTCGTCTGCACGAACTGTGGGGCAATGATAGATGAAAATGGGACACTAACCTGAATTGGGTTGGTTGTCGCTGTTCGGTCGGGCGGACGGTGCTCCATCCCTGGCCTCCACCTCCAGAGCGTAAGCCCCCTGCTTTTCCCTGTCGAAGACGATTTTCGTGAAGACCTCTCCGGACTCTTGATTGATTTCGAAGTAATCTTTGCCCTCGTTCCTCGGCGAATCCACCACATAATAGTACACCTAAACGGATAAACGATGTTACCGACAGTCCTCACATCAACATCTTCCTTCACGTACTTGATTATTGGGGAAGGTTCCGTCCTTATCGATGGCGTTCACTTGGGTCACTTTAGTACCGATGGGTTCGCCTTCGAGAACAGTCTCTTGTTCGCGCTCAGTGAACAGCGGAATCTCATCGTTAACATCCTCAAGCATGATGTAAACCGTAGCCTCAGACGCCAACTGTTGAGCTCCGTTGTTCTACAACAAATTAATCAACAATTAGTCAACAAGATCTCGACGACATTTAACACAATAACAATAACAATACCTCAACCCTGATCGTCAGGTTGTACTCCTTTATGGTTTCATAATCCAGCGGATGATTGACCTTGATGTCAGCCCAGGTGAATCCGTTGTCGGGTCTCTGCTGCAGGTAGAACGTGTGGTACTTGTTGGTCTGCGCTGTGGACCCGGGCATCAGGCGGTAGAACACAGTCGGGTTATTCTCGATCCCGGAACTATATGCAACGGTAACAATGTTATAGAACAAAATCCCGACCAATCGACCATAGTTTTTTTTTCTTTACTTTCGTTTATATATACTTAACAAAATATATATGAACTAATTCGATCAACTACGTTTAACAAAAAAAAACAAATGGTCTCCAAAAAATTAACGAAAAAAAAAAAGAAAAACGAACCCCGTCGTCCCGGCACCCCAGCAATTTCCATCTCCAAAAAACACAAAAATTCACGCGTTTTTTTTTTGCATTTCGTCAGGAACTAGATATATTAGTCATTGATACGCACTCAATCGCCGTACAAAATATAAATATATAGATATATATCGCATGCTCGAAAGCTTCTCAAAAGCTATACAACTCTAATCGACGATTGCGTGCGGATCAAATTATCCTGAAATATTCGAATTTTTCATAGAAAAAAATAATCATGAATTGCGTAATCTAGTCCCAACTTTTGTCGAGATTCATCGTCTATTTTGTATTAAAAAGAAAATCTGAAAAAATTTCACGAATTGTTGGAATTTCAACTAAAATATTTCATGAAAGTTGCACATGTGTTAATCATCAAGAAATTAAATAAATTTTTACTTTTCAAAATAAGAAATTCTAAAAAATTAATGAAAACAACAACAAAAATTAGTTGTTAAAGTTCCCATCTTTCTTTGCGATGAGAAAACTTTTCAAATGATTCTATAGAAAGATTCGTGTTTGATTATATCAGAAATTTCACAAATAAACACGAAAAAACTTGAGATAATAGTTATAAATTTCTGAAACATTGATCAGCAAAAATTAGTTGTTAAAGTTCCCATCTTTCTTTGCGATCAGAAAACTTTTGGAATGATTCTATAGCAAGATTCGTGTTTGATCATTTCAGAAATTTCACAAAATAAACACGAAAAAACTTGAGATAATAGTTATAGTCACATTTTGTAAAAATAGAGAGAGAAAACTGAAATATTTTAACAAACAATGAAACGCGTTTTTTTTATTTGGAGATTTCACATTTGCTGGGGTGAGCCTTGCGCAAAAAAAAATGTTACGCTGGGAGTTTTTGTTTTTGTATCCGGGGCTGTTTTTACTTTTTTTTTTTCTCTTTTTACTTCGGGCTCACGTATCACAAAAAGCAAAAATACAATACGCACCGATTCGCAGGAATCGTCCACAAAAATACAAAAATATATATATATATATACGTGTGTATAAAATTTTTTTTAAACAAAAATAATCGACATGGCTTACAAAAATTCATCAGCCACATGCAAAAATTACCAAAAAAAAAAACATTAAAGGACGAGACCAAAAATATTACGAATTACGTTAATGAGAAAATGATGGTAAAAACAAAAATATGTATATAATAGTTTTCTTGGCTTTTCTTTCTACATTTTTATATTTTCTTTTCTTTTGTTTTAAAAGAAATATAAATATATATAGTAGTAGTAAAGTAAGAGCGAATCCACCATAAATCGCGAAAAAGATAAATAGTATCTCAATTAAAAACTAATTTTTGATAAAAGTAGTAAAATTTCATTAATTTTGTAAGTACAAAAAACGACGTGATTGATTTAATACCCGGCGCATCCACCCAAAATAAAACAATTGTTTAAAAAGTTCAATTATTAGACAGAACGACACAAAAATTGGTAAAATTGATCAAAATTTAATCTTAAACATTAAAACATATAAGATTTTCGTAATTTTGATTCAAACTTTATGAATGAGTAAATACATCAAAATGACTGAAAAACAAAATATTTCGAATCAGCAATTGATCGTGGATCGTTTCTTCATTCACAACAAAAAAAAACTAGAATGTAGAAAGAAGACCACAAAAATCAAAACGAAAACAAAAATAGATGACTGTTTTATATAAATGAGATGCACATGCAAACCACCGAAATTACAATTTATCGTTCTGCTGATTTGTTTTTTTTTTTACCTATTCTAACTTTCTCTGTATTGCTTTCTGTTTTAGCCTTCGTATTTTTTCAAGTATATATTTTCGTAATTTGGGTGTGCGGGAGGACGAGCGGCGGACGATTTCCAAAAAAATGAAAGACGAAAAAAAAAGAACGTCTGCAGTTCGTCCTCTCCTCATCAAAATGCCTGTGTCACATCCGCCCCCATTAGCAACATGTTCGTTATTCATTATTATTTTTTTTAGTAATAATAAATTGTGCACTTTTTCTGTATTCAATTTCAAGAAAATGAAGATATACTGTGGCTCGGTGAAGTTAGGTTGTACATTCTCTTTATTATTTATTTTTTTTCGTTCCATTTATCTGTACCCGGAAATCATTATTTCTCTCGATAATAATAATAATAATATATATGCGCGCTTATGTAGAGAAAAAAATTAATAAACGAAACGGAAAGAAATAAAAAATCAAACAAACAAAAAAAAAACAAGTCTAAACTAGATGTATAGTAAAAGAGATGTGATGAGTAGTGGTGACGGGATTCGGGATTCAGAGTTTGTGGAGTTCATGTCCAAACTGTGTGTGTGTGTGAGTTTGTATTTTGGACCACTGAATGTTGTTGATGTGTTGCAAAAATGACCCATATTAATATGCCCCATTAAAAAAGCTCGTGAGTTGCGTGTGGTGCAGGCGTCAACAACATTCAGCTTCGATGACTTTGATCATGATTATGATGATGATTATGATGATATAAAAGGGTGTAAGAAAGAAAGAGAGAGAAAGAACAAAGGGTGTCGGAGGAGGAGGAGAGAATGATTTTAGTATTCAATTAGTTTAGTACTTTGTTAGTATTAATTATGATGACGATGCACATGACTTTTGTTACTTTTTGTGGGGATCGCACGTGAGAGAGAGAGAGAAATCGAGACTGTTTAGGAACATGTTTAGTATTTGGAGAAAGATTAGAGAGAGAGAGAAAGAGAGATATAGAATAAACCGAGATATCACTTGACTGACTACACACCCATTAGTATATATTAAGACTACAGTATAATATTAATACATCAACCATAGCAAATTTATCAAAACTTTTCAACAAAAAAATGATCAACTCTAGCAAATTGTTTTCATTGCATAAAAATGTAAATTTCCTCTTATATTCAAAATATTTAAAATCTAATTAAGTCGGCCTTATGATAATGCAATATCGATTGTATCGCGTAGATTAGCATAATTAACACTAATTTATGATTAATATTCAAATATATACAGCAAAAAGACCGGCACAGATAGGATTAATCTCCGGATTATGGGGCAAATTTGAAAACAATACAAATCGGAATTACAACCAACATTCGACGTGCATTGTTATCCAAAACACTCAAATTTCAGTTTCATTTTAACATCATGATTATAATTTCAAGATATTTTACAAAAATCTAACTCAATTTTCCTTAATATCATCATAAAATTGATGATTAAATAAAGTAATCAATTGTTAGTTATGTTGGAACTGTTAAATAGATTGTTAATTTTGTGAATATGATGAAAAATGACTACATCCGGTTTGACCGGAAAAGTCGTAAATGTTGGTCTATTTAAACCGGATAAAGTTTATCATGTGCTTCATGGTGTATATAACGAAAAAGTCTATTATTTTTTTCTTGTAGGGTTGGCAGTTTTTGATGTATTGATGAAAAACAAGAGCAGAGTTGTTAATAATGTGGAAGTTGCTGTTAAAGTTGCCATGGTTGATAAAGGGGGGATTTTTTTGTAAAAAAAACAACAAAATAGAACTGAAAGAAAGTTACTGAAGGCATAGAGGTAGTTGAGAGAGAATCAATAATTAAAAAAAAAAAAGTATGATCGTTAATCAACAGTAGGCAACATTGAAATCGATTAATTAATGGTTAAATATACATAGCAATTATTGGTAGCTGCTGTAGTTGTATGTATGTATGTATATATATATATTTGTATGTATATATATATTTAGATATAATAGGCCGGGGGCACGTGCTTGCCCCCAGAGGTCGGGTGAAGCGTGCACAAACAGAGACCACCTGTGCCGTGCAGCGCGTGCTGCTGCACGAACAACCGATAGGAGGAGACACACTGATGGGCACAGACCTGGCTTTCACCGACACGACCTTTGCCCCGACCGGGAGGTTCTCCCTTATGTAGATCGGCCCGTAGACCACGTGGTCCCACACGGGCGGATTGTTTGCGCGGTCCACAACATCGATCTGAACTTCCACCGATCGGGACAGTGGAGGGTACCCTTTGTCTTGGGCCGTGGCCTCCAACTTGTACGTTTCTCTCTACAAAGGGCGGCCGCGCGAAGCCGAACACAAGAAAAATAAAAAAGACAAGACACATGGTGTTAGTGGTTACTTCGAGACTGGTTGTTCTGTTTTTGTAGTATTTTTGCAAGATTGCAAAAAAAAAACATACAAGTTCAAAAAACAACAAACTTTCAAAAAATAAAAACGAAACAAGACAATAATTTGTAAAGGAAACAGAAGAAAAAAAACTAAAATCAAAAGTATATATAATGAATATATATATGCGACAAATAAGATAAAGAGTAGTTGTAAGTAGTAGTAGTAGTAAAAGGTGGTAAATAGTGGTAAGTTGTAGTAGTAGTTGCATAGTCGTCTCTAAAATAATTAAATCAATTCAAGTGGTTTTTGTTGGTTTTTTTGTCGGATGGATATTTTGGGCTCCTGGAAGGTGTAGTTCGCTGGCGCGCTCCGCAACGTCCCGGACCTTTGTGTGTCTCTCACAAGAATTTCCAGTGTTTCTAAAACTCGCGCATCCGCTCAGCATACAGCATCAATCCCCCAGAGGTAGCAAAGACCGAAAAATTCGTTCGGTTTCCGGAAACCGACGCAAAGCGCGAACGCGAATCGAAAGACGCCCAAATCCCACCCATCGAGGCGCCGGGAGGTCGCGGCCGCAACCTTCTTCTCCATATAAATTACATCACACACAAAACGAATTTCGCTCAGCACAATTTTTGGTATTATTCTCTTAAAACTTTTCCACACGGAATCAAACTCTTCAGAAAAAAAAAATCAATCAATCAAACGTACAATAATCATAATGTAATTTGCACAGCATCAATTTGCTTTCGATGCATTTCTTTAAATTTTTTTTTGTTATTATTAATTTTTTTTTTGTTATTACACTCTCACTCTTCATATATATCGACGATACCAACCTTGCTTTCACAGACGTCACTACTGTACCCACTGTGACATTTTCTTTGATGTGAATGGGGCCGTACACATTCACGTCCCACAACGGAGGCTTATTGTTCCTGTCTACGACGTCTAACTCAACGTCCACGTCCGCATAGGATGGCGGCTCGCCTCTGTCCGAGGCCCGCACGCGAAGTCGGTACCTGTCTCGCTAAATATACGGGCACGGTCAGGTTCAAGGGCTCAAAGGGACAAAACCAAAATAGAACACACGCAATCAAACCAAAAAATCATATCGCAATCATAACTTCATAAGAGACGTATACATGGTTCGGAAATATAATCAAATGCGACAAAACTATAAAAAAATAAATAAATAAATAAAAGGATGTCCCATCAGGTACACAACGGACATGCAAACTTATAAAGACAACACCTAGTTTCAGTTCTGAAATATGAAGTTAGGTTAGGTTATAAGAGGTTAAGATATGTAAGGTTAGGAAAGCGTAGAAGAAATTAGGAGAAGTTATCAAAGATGTTGAGGGTGCAACTGGAGTTAGGTCAGATCAGATGAGGTAGGATTATATAACTTAAAGTACTTTATAGTATGATCATTGGTTCATGTAACGTTAAAAATGTGAAACTGAAAAGTTGTGAAATGGCCGTTGAGTCCCTGACGAACATAGCAAGTAAAAGAAAAAGACTATAGGAAACAATAATACAAAAACTAAACTCGATCATACGACAACTTAATAGTAAATAAATAACAATAATAATAAACGACAACGATATTAGAAAAACAAAATAAGGAAACTATGATAATATAATTTTTCTGCGCAAATACACAAAATAATAGCGAAACAAAAGAATGGTAAACGATGAATCAACAGATGTCGCTGTTAGTAATGGTAATAATGATCGAAGTAAGCTGAAATTAAACCAATTATAGAAACGCGAAGCGACCGATGTGAAAAGAAACGAAATTTCTTCAATCAAAAACTGAAACAACAAAATGCGATAAATTACTTTTTCATGTTCTAGTGAAACGATTTGCTATTATTAATAATCTGTTGCAATTTATTGTTTCAGAGGATGAAAATGAAAATAAAAAAGAATCGAAAGAGATGAAAACAAAGAAAAAAAAGAGAGAATGAAAAACGATCGTCTCTCATCCCACGCCTCTCGCTGCAAAATAGAAAATGAATTAACCAAAATAGGAACAACAGAAACAGAAAATGGGATCAAACATAAATGAATGAACGAAACACGCACCGAACAAACGAAGAACCGAAAGCTGGACATAAATCTCTCGACGTGGAACGAGATAAATCGCGATGCAACAAAAAAATCGCTGCCTCCCAATGGACAAATGAAAACGTCGATCATAATAATTCAGGAGACCATCAAAGCACAAACTGAAGGCTGATTCCAGCTGCAGGTAAATACGCACCTCCGAAAACTACAGCCATAGCTTACAGTTCACTCAAAGCTTTGATTAATTTGCGTTTCCACCAATTAAAGAGCGTTTTTTCAAGACGCCATCTATCGGCCGGCAAACCAATTGAATTTCGTTAATAAATTAAAGCCAGATGTGCCTTTAGATTAGCGCCATTAGAGAGGAGGATATGAATGTAGTAATAATTTAGATTGGGAGGTGGAAGTATGTAAATTTAGTCGGGATCCAATTGTTCTCGCATGCCAATGGCCGCAAATTCTCCACACCGAAAATTCAATTGTTTTTAAGTGCACTTCGCATTTATTATGCAAACATTTGCATTTATCAGTTCGATCGAAGATTTCTACGCTGAGAGAGAGAGAGGATCGATGGGATGAGCGACTTCGATTTCCTCTCAGATCCGCGCTAAATCAAATCAAAGATACAAAAAACAACAATAGCAACGAAAATAAATTTAAAGAAAGAAATAATGTAAGCGTTTTCCATTGGAAAATCAATTCACAAATGGAAAAAAATAATTGATACAGCGTCTCTTCGGAATTTTTGTGTCGGATTTTCTTTTCGTGTTTCAAGGAGAATTTAATACAACTCGATATGGAAAAAAAAAAGAAATAAACAAATGTGAAAACAAAAAAAGAGAAAACTAAAACGAAACGAAAAAATAAACATCGTCTGGCTCCGCTACCCTTCTTCTTTATTTTTTTTTTGTTGTTATTACACCTACTTACTGGAAAACATCCCTGCTGCCATCGGCATTGTGGGGCAGATACGCCGAAGAACAGAAAAGTGCAAGTAAACGAACCCAAAAAAGATAAAAAAAAAAAAAACAAACAGAAAACGATAAATAAATATGTAATAAAATTGAATAAGAATCGAAGGAAATCATAGATCCACAAAAATAAATAGAAATGAATTTGTTTTTGTTTAAATTCAAAGCAGGCAATCCTCTGTACATGCATCAAAATCAAGTAAACAAACAAACGATAACCTTGAACAAACAAACGAAAAGAACAACGAAAACAAAAAATCGGGATTCGTTGTTACTCTAAGTAATTTGCGTCAGTCGATCAACAAAACAATAACAACAACAATAACAACAAAAGAGAAAAAAATGTATATATATATAATATATATATATAGAAAAAAAAAACAGAGACAAAACAAAAACAACGACGTGAAAACCAATGAGAAGAAACAAAAAACAAAACAAAAAAAAACACTGGGCGGGGCGGGAGCAAGGATGTGCAAAAAGTCTTTTCCACTGATCTCTTCGATTTGTTTTTTTTCTTTTCTTATACTCGCAATTTACTTGACACGGAAACGACCTTCAAAAACCGATGGACGTTGTTGTTGTTCAACTCTTTTCTCTTGTATTTTTTGCTTTCGTTTTTGCTCGAGAGTACGCCGCCCCATGCACAGGTTAAAAAAATGTCACAATGTCAAAGTGAGGGGGAGAGAGACGTGCGCCCAAAACACCCCCGGGTCTCAAAAAAAAATCGACCTCTTCGCCCCACTTGTGACCAAAATATATATATATTTGCATGTAAATATATATATGTGTGTAAATATCAGCGAATTACAACTTTTCTGTTACATCTTTTTTATAATATTTATGAACCAGTTGGTTCACCTGCAAAAAAAACCACTCAAAATCGTTTAGCTTTTTGGAAACACACAGATTCAAAAACTCATATATCTGTAATGTCGGAGAAAGAGAGAGAGAGAGAGAAAAAAATAAATCTTTTGTTATATAGACAAAACGGAAACAACAACGAACAACAACAAAAAAAAAAAAAAAACATATGCATGGGTCAGGAGAGAGAACAAAAAAAATTTGTCTGTTTCTTTTTCTTTTTTTTTCGTCAAGTACAAAGAGTTTTAGTCTCGCAGCCACAACTCCACAGACACGGCTCGAAGTGGACTCTCAAAAATCTCGCAGCACCTGGGCATCAAAAATACTTTTTCAAAAAAAAACAAAACAAAACAAATAAGAAAAATCGAAAGGAAACCAACGACAACAACAACAAAAATTGAGTATATATTATCTATGGTTCTCATCAGCGCTCCTTGCTTCACAAAAACAAAACGGAAACGATTATCGTTTCTAAAGAAACAATAATCATAATGAAACAAAACAGAAAACGTAAACGAAATTGGGGGGGGGACAAAAACCCAACCGGAAACTCAAAAAACAAACAAACAACAAAAGAGATCAAAATCAAACGCGCTCTAGGGTTTTCGGGTTCTTTTTTTTTAATTTTTGGTCAGGTTGGAAGTATAGAAGTAATTTGAATGAAACGAAAAACTTATTTGTATATATATATATATAAATTTATATATATATACAAAAGATAGAATTAAAGAAAGAGAGAGAGAGAGAAAAAAAAAAGAATCTCTGGACGAGGGCGTTTGATTCGCAACAACGAAAAAAACAATAATTGGTAATAATCAATCAATCAATTAATTAATGCAAGGTGTGCCGTACAAATGGAACTTAGACAACAATAATAATAATAAGATTTAGATCAGTGCATTTAGATCTGAAACGACCAGACCAGAGCAACTCAAAGAAAGGTGCGCTGAAAATGAAAAGAGATATAGAAGCAGCTAGTATTCCACTCGTACCTAGTAGATCTGGACCCGTTCTCATCCTGGCAGCATCTGGCAGCTGAAATCTCTTTGCATACATATATACAGAGAAAATGAAAAACCAAAAAGAGAATCCAAACGAAAGAACGGAAAAGAAAAGAAAAAAATTTAAAGAGAAAACGAAAAGAATATTACACATTATCCAACGACAACAACAACAATAATAATAACAACAACGAAGATACATAGAATCGTGTTTCTTATGTGTGTTAATAGAAAAAGAAAGGATTTTGTTTTCTTTTGTCGAAAACGCACGCACACTTGATTACCATAGGGAATTAAAAGAAGAAGGTAAAAAAGTCCTAGTTTTTTTGTGTGCGTGTTAAATTATTTTTTGAATGGGGTTTTTTTAGTTTTAATCAAAAGAGAGGAGGCTGTCGAAGGCTCTCCCGTGTGCCAAGGATCGAGTACTTACATCCAGAGGTTTCTTCAAGACGATCCAGCCGGACTCCGGCTGGATCTCAAAGTACTCCAGGTCTCCGGCATTCGAGCCAGCGTTCAGCGTGTACACTATAGCTCCGTTGTTGTCAGCATCCTCGTCTGAGGCGGAAACGCGCAGGATGTTTGTTCCGATGCTCGCGTCCTGTTTCACGTTCTCCACGTATTTCTGCAAAAACACATCCAAAAACGCTTTAAAAATCCACAAAATTTCACAATTAAACTACAATAGTCTTTAATCATCACGAATTAGAGAAAAGAAAAACACAACCGATCAGAAATCGCGCACGACTGACGTTAAACATTTACCTTAGCAACTGATGTTATATAATAAAAAAAAAACAACAAACTAGATCAAAATTATTAATCTGTTACATAAATTTAAAAAATTAATAATTTCTTCAATTACTAATTATAATTATACAAATAATTATTGATGAATTTGAATGCGTTCCCCACATTAGAGAAAAATGATTGACAAAATCCGTTGAAATGTTTTGTATACTTTTCAAATTAATTACTGACATTAAACATTTTCCTTAGCAACCGATGTTATAACAAACAAACTAGATTAAAATTATTAATTTGTTCCATAAATTTAAAAAAATAATAATTTCCTCAATTTTTATTAATATAAAGTATAATTATACAAATAAATATTGAAAAATTTGAATGCGTTCCCCGCATTAGAGAAAAAGGATTGCCAAAATCCGTTGAAATGTTTTGTATACTTTTCAAATTAATTACTGACATTAAACATTTTCCTTAGGAACCAATGTTATTACAAACAAACAACAAACTAGATCAAAATTATTAATCTGTTACATAAATTTAAAAAAATAATAATTTCCTCAATTACTATTAATATAAAGTATAATTATACAAATAAATATTGATGAATTTGAATGCATTTCACGCATTACAGAAAAAGGATTGTCAAAATCCGTTGAAATGTATTGTATACTTTTCAAATTAATTACTGACATTAAACATTTTCCTTAGCAACCGATGTTATAACAAACAAACTAGATCAAAATTATTAATTTGTTCCATAAATTTAAAAAAATAATAATTTCCTCAATTTTTATTAATATAAAGTATAATTATACAAATAAATATTGATAAATTTGAATGCATTTCACGCATTAGAGAAAAAGGATTGTCAAAATCCGTTGAAATGTTTTGTATACTTTTCAAATTAATTACTAACATTAAACATTTTCCTTAGCAACCGATGTTATAACAAACAAACAACAAACTAGATCAAGATTATTAATCTGTTACATAAATTTAAAAAATTAATAATTTCTTCAATTACTATTAATATAAAGAATAATTATACAAATAAATATTGATGAATTTGAATGCGTTCCACGAAATAGAGAAAAATGATTGTCAAAATCCGTTGAAATGTTTTGTATACTTTTCAAATTGATTACTGACATTAAACATTTTCCTTAGCAACCGATGTTATAACAAACAAACAACAAACTAGATCAAAATTATTAATCTGTTACATAAATTTAAAAAAATAATAATTTCCTCAATTACTTTTAATATAAAGTATAATTATACAAATAATTATTGATGAATTTGAATGCGTTCCACGAAATAGAGAAAAATGATTGTCAAAATCCGTTGAAATGTTTTTCATACTTTTCAAATTGATTACTGACATTAAACATTTTCCTTAGCAACCGATGTTATAACAAACAAACAACAAACTAGATCAAAATTATTAATTTGTTACATAAATTTAAAAAATTAATAATTTACTCAATTATTATTAATATAAAGTATAATTATACAAATAAATATTGCAAAATTTTAATGCTTTCCCCGCATTAGAGAAAAAGGATTGTCAAAATCCGTTGAAATGTTTTGTGTACATTTCAATTTATGTAATAATATTAGAATTATTCAAATAGATTTTACAAAATAATTTCACTAATTAATTTAAAAAAAAAAAAACATCAAAATAATGAAATTATTGAAAATCGTCAAATTTTACAACTTTCCCACCCAATTTATCAGTGATTTTATAATAATATATGAAATTTAGTAATCTTGACAATAAACATTTAGAATATGAATTATAAAACTATTACAAATATGATTGTTTGTAAATGAACTTATAAACTTTAGTTTGCAATTATTTGTACAACAAACTTTTGCTGTTTTGCAAAACTAGATCAAAATTATTAATTTGTTACATACATTTAAAAAAAACTGCATATTTTTCAATAATTCCCTCAATTATTATTAATATAAAGTGTAATTATACAAATAAATATTGACAAATTTGAATACGTTCCCCGCATTAGAGAAAAAAGATTGCCAAAATCCGTTGAAATGTTTTGTGTACATTTCAATTTATGTAATAATATTAGAATTAATCAAATACATTTTATAAAATATTTTCACTAATTAATTTAACATCAAAATAATGAAATTATTGAAAATCGTCTAATTTTACAACTTTCCTAAAATTTATCAGTGATTTTATGGTAATATATGAAATTTAGTAATCTTGACAATAAAAATTTAGAATATGAATTACAAATATGATTGTTTGTAAATGAACTTATAAACTTTAGTTTGCAATTATTTGTACAACAAACTTTTGCTGTTGCAAAGTTTAGTTTAATATTGTTAATATTCAAGTTGAATTTACCTGTCTGTCAAAGAGCGGTGGATTGTCGTTAACATCTGTAATTTCGACGGTGAATGAGCAAACGCCCTCGAGCGAAGGTTCGCCCTGATCCGTGGCCTTGACAGTGACGGAAACGAATTTTCCATCGTCTCCCTCTCGATCGAACACCTTGTTGGTCGAGACCTCTCCCGTCTCTTCGTCAACCGTGAACTTGGTTCCCTTCTGATTGGGCTGCTGCACGATGGAGTACTTGACCTGCCCATTGACGCCCTTATCTTCATCCGTCGCGTGAACTTTGATAACAGGAGAACCGTTGGGCGCGCCCTCCTCGACTTTGGGGTAATAAGTGCCGCAATCCTTAAAAATCGGCTTATTGTCGTTAACATCTGTGATGAAAACGACGACGACAGCTGTGCTCGTGTGAATCGTGGCGTCTCCGTTGACGCAGCAAGCACCATCATCCATAGCCGTTACGTTCAACTCGTACTTGTCCCTATCCAAAGATATGGACTTTCCGTGCAACCTGATCACACCGGTGATCTCTTCAATGACGAATTGCCCCGAACTGACACCGCCTCCAACGAAACCAAACCTAACATTATCACCGTCCTTATCAGAGGCTACCACAGTCGTAACCAAAGTATTAGAACCAGCGTTCTCATCCACGTTAGGCGTGTAAACTTGTTGCGAGAACTTAGGCTCCTCATCGTTCTTGTTCTTAGTGTAAACCCTAACAGTAGCAGTTCCAGTCTTAGCCGGTTCCCCTTTATCCTTAGCCGTTACAACGAATTCGTAATAAGCGTTGTTGTTATCAGCATCCAGCTGCTTGTTGTTCGAGATGATACCATTAGGATCGACGCTGAAATGATCATCAGAGACCATGTACTCAATCTCAGCATTAGCACCGCTATCCGAATCCATCGCTTTCACCTTAAGTATACTAGTTCCCGGTGGAATATCTTCATCGACGTTGTGAGCTTGATAATCCGGTAACTCGAATTTCGGAGCGTTATCGTTAACATCCGTCACTCTAATCGTCAACTACAAATAAAAAAACAGTTAACAATCCAAACAGATTCAAATCCAAAAAAAACACTCACCTCAACCGACGTAGAGAATCCACCAGAATCTTCCGTAGCTGTGACCACAAGGGAGTAAACATGAGGTTGCCTCAGATCTTCAAAATCCAACTCCTTCGCCAACTTAACTATTCCAGACGTTGGTCCAATGTTGAACGTTCCTGCACCCTGACCTTGCGCCTTCAACGTGTAACGAATCTCGCGATCCGCAAACGATTTCGCCTTCACCGAAATTATACTACAAAAACATTTCAAAATTAGCTACAAATTGACATATTTTTTTTTATAACAGAAATCACATCTTTATTAACATTTACTCATCTTTAAGAAATATATAAAAAAAAATGTGATCGTAAAAGAAAAACAGGCATTAGTTTTTAACAGCAAATTAGCTGAACATTTCATTTGCATGATAAGTGGATCAAAGGTGGCTCCGCTTCGCTCAACTCGTTTAATTATAAGGGATGAAAAAAAAAATAAGTCCCTAAGAATTATTACGTGCTTTTGATTACTTTTAGATGGCTTTTCCATGTTTACAACGCAAACTTTCACCATTAAAAGAATATTACTCATATTATCTTACAAAAAGAAAAATTATCATACTCTCTATGAAATATTCTTTAAAAAAAAAACAAAACAGTTTGAACGTTGTTCACTTTGAAACGTTGCTACTTTGATTTTTTTTTTTATTTAAACTTATAAAAGTTAAGCAACGAGTATTATAGATATTTAATGGATGGATGATTTTACAAAAAAAAAAATATTATTCATTCTAAATTTGTTTTTATCAAAATTTAATATATTTTTACCAAAAATTCACAATGTAATAAATTTAATTATTCTTCATGATAATTATTGTAATCAATCAATTTATAACAATGAATTTAATTAAAATTATTAAATGTGAATCAAAATGCAAAATCAAAATTCGGAAACAATAAAATCTGTTTCAGCGTGAAATTATTAAAATTTGTAAATTATGAATGGACGAATCGATGATGCCGCGAAATAATAATTAATAATTTTATGATGGGAATCTGGCGGCAACCGAATTTCGCGCCGTAATTCACAATCATCGCGGCTCGACCGATGATGATGATGATGATGGTAATAATAATGATGATGATGATGATGATAATAGTAATTCGGCGATTTCAATTAAAACGTTATAACCGGACGAAAACCAATTAAAAACCAGTTAATATTCAATAGAGAGAGAGTAACCAATTCCATTGCCAACGTACACAAAATTAAAAAAAATGAAACAAAAGAAGCCGAAATTTCATTGTAGTAATTCGCTTTGTGATATTGTCAAATTTCATTGAATTTGTTTAAACAAATTTTGTTTAATTTTGTTATGAAATCCGCACTATGCGAAGTATTCTTGTATTTGCAAGTATTTTTGAATAGAAATATCATTTAATTTCGATTCAAGCTAAAAAAAAAAAAGTGTTTCAAGTGGGGAAAACTATTTAAGACCGATGAATGCAATGCAAGAAAATCACTTTTCTCTGTATATTTCTTTTCCTTTCGCACGATGAAAGGATCTGTTGAAAAGCAATTACGTAAAACCGTTGAATAACAACAACAACAACAACAAACAAACAAAAAAAATATAAATAAAGCACGCGAAACTAATTGAAAGGCACAAACGAATGGAACGAGAGAGAAAAAAAGTGTAATTGAAATACGCCGTAAATGGAAGATCAAAAGGTCGATCGAGGCGTATATTTCGACGGAAAAGGCCGAAGATTACCTTTCAATCCATCAAAATCGAAATCCTCTGTTACTATTTTATATCAATCCGTCAATTTTTTTTTTCAATTTGCAAAAAAAACAAATCCATTTGTTAATAAGAATTTTCCATTTGTTGATGATGATGAAAACTGTAATCATGGTAATCATTGAAAAAAAACAATTACGCAATAAAAAAAAAACAAATACTACAATCTTATTTTTGTTTGATAAAGTCATGGATATTCTTTTGTTTTAGGTTAAAAACGCGATAGAAAAACTTAATTTTTATTTTGTTTTTCGCTAACGAAATGTTGCCAACTTTTCCATGGATGTAAAGATGAAAATTATGAGAAACAAATTAATTTACAAAAAAAATGTTAAAGAATGACAGATGTAAAAAACGATCGTGGTAATCTTTGAAACAAAAGAATTACGCAATAAAAAAAAACAAACACTACATTCTAATATTTGTTTAATAAAGTCATGGATATTCTTTTGTTTTAGGTTAAAAACGCGATAGATAAAATTAATTTTTATTTTGTTTTTTCGCTAACGAAATGTTGTCAACTTTCCCATGGATGTAGAGATGAAAATTATGAAAAACAAATGTTATAGAATGACAGATGTAAATTACGATCATGGTAATCTTTGAAACAAAAGAATTACGCACTGTTTCCTTAAAAAAAAATCGATTTTCTCCAAATGGAAATTTGCAAGAAATCAAAACTAGAAAATTGCTTTTTCCTCTCGCCGAGACGTTGGAAAATTCGCGTCGAATCCTTTTTGAATAATTGAAAAAAAAACGTGGAAAAGTTTTGGACAAAAATTTAAATATTTTCCGCTTGCCGCGAAGAAACACAATTGTTCTTCATTGAATGCGTTTATGAATATTCCGACAGATTTAATTAGTCTTTTCTTGAACGCTCTTGTTTTCCTCTCTCTCGTTTGTTTCACTCGCACAATGGATTTTAATTAATTTCGGGGATTTTCCGGACTTTCCACCGATCTTCCGTATATATTTGCACCTAAAAACGTAATTGAGTAAACAAAAGAACGAAGAAAACGAGTTAACATTTATCTTCCAGTTAAAATCGATTGTTAGAATATATTTAAACTGGAGATGAAAATCTGTTAAAATTTTAACAATTAAAAACAAACAATTTCATTGTCAAACTTAAACACAAGTTTGATTGTAGAAAAATTAGAACAAGTCAAAGATAAATATTTGCAATTTATAATGTGATAACATTTATCTTATTGTTAAGAAGAAATAAAAGAAGATATGGCGTATATATCCGCCTCTCGTCCGCAAAATAAATTTTATTATTTTATGAATGGAAATTTCATTTTTTTTACAAGGTAATGAAAAGACAATTTCAGCAGATTTGCCGACCTTTTTTTATGCCTTATTCCACCTAAAAAAAACGGGTTTTATTTGTATATCTTCTTTACGTATAATTGACTTTATTATAATGAAATGTATTTGGGGGAATCAAAAGGAGGAAACAATTTCGTCGGTGCTCTTAATTTGTTTGGCAGATGCGGACCGGAATTGGCGTTTAAGAAGAAAGAAAAAGCGAGGAAGAAAAGAGGATCTCTTCCCTTTTTTCCGTCTTGTTTTTCCTTTATTTATTCTTTCGCATCGTCGGAAAGCTATTTCGAAATGTATTGGCCTTTCGCCTGAATAATGCATTCTAGAATTAGCCCACTTTCAACGAGCGGACGTTTTCATCAAAAGGACCTTCATTATCCAAGGATACAGGGAAAAACAACAATAAAAAGAGAAGAAGGAAACGAGAAGATCTTTGTACAATTTTTTTTATAGTGAAAACGGATTCATTTTATTAACTTAACATTTTCTTAGTCTCTTTTGTGCAATAAATGTTTAAAATTGTAATAATTTTCCATACATTTCACTTTGATGTTAATGATGAAAACTGTAATCATGGTAATCATTGAAACAAAACAATTACACAATAAAAACTTTGTTTGATAAAGTGGATACGGATATTCTTTTGTTTTAGTTAAAAACTTATGTTTATTTTGTATTTCGATAACAAAATGTTGCCAACTTTCCCATGGATGTAGATGAAAAACAAATTAATTTACAAAAACAAAAAAAAAATGTTAAAGAATGACAGATGTAAAAAACGATCAAGGTAATCTTTGAAACAAAAGATTATTAGTAAATACAGCAATATCCGGCTTCAATCAGTCCGGATTTAGTATATACTTTTGTGCAATAAATGTTTAAAATTGTAATAATTTTCCATACATTTCACTTTGATGATAATGATGAAAACTGTAATCATAGTTGTAGATGAAAATTATGAAAAACAAATTAATTTACAAAAACAAAACAAAATGTTAAAGAATGACAGATGAAAAAAGCGATCATGGTAATCTTTGAAACAAAAGATTATTAGTAAATACAGCAATATCCGGCTTCAATCAGTCCGGATTTAGTATATACTTTTGTGCAATAAATGTTTAAAATTGTAATAATTTTCCATACATTTCACTTTGATGATAATGATGAAAACTGTAATCATGGTTGTAGATGAAAATTATGAAAAACAAATTAATTTACAAAAACAAAACAAAAATGTTAAAGAATGACAGATGTAAAAAAACGATCATGGTAATCTTTGAAACAAAAGATTATTAGTAAATACAGCAATATCCGGTTTCAATCAGTCGGGATTCACTATATCTTTTGTGCAATAAATGTTTAAAATTGTAATAATTTGTTAATAATTCAGTGCAACAAAACAAATCATCAATGTTCGATAGAGAATTTCATATTAATTTTCACCGATTTCGAGTGGTTTCAATCAACCGTATGTTGCTGCAACGACAATTATTAAATACCGTTCGAAAATCCATCGTTTCAACAATTTTAAAAAAAGCAAAGTCGATTACAAACAGATTGGAATCTAAATGACTACAGCAGACGAGACCTCATGAAATATTCAAAAATGAAAATTGATTTAGTCTACGCGTCCGATTCGTCCTTAGAATCACAAATAACAGGCGGCGAAAACAACAAAACAAACACGAAAGAAAATGTAATCATAAATATAAAGGATCACAATTGAATCGAAAGCTCGAAATGGGTAAAAATGGGTTTCTTTCCGCAATTATTTGTGAATTAAGAACAAATTACAAGGCGAATGTGTGTGTGTTTCGTGCACACTCGACGCAAAGTGGATTACGTAACGTAATGAACGTATTGATTCGCTACAGGTTTTTGTTTCGTTATTGTAACGAAACAAAATTGATTTAATAAAAGACTACGCGAAAATATACCAGCTCTCTGGATTTGTTGTGTAATTTGAAAATTCTATGTCAATAATGAAATATAATAAAAATAATGAAGTTGCAAAAAAAATTAATGAAAAATCACATAAAAATCAAAAAATTTAACGAAATTTGCTTAAAACTTCATAATTTTAACTAAAAACAACTAATGTAATTTTTTTAATCATCAAATTGCATCTCGATCATAAATAATAAAAATTGAACGTTAACGTAAACTGAAAATTTTGCTGAAACAAATTCCCATTTTATATTGTTATTGATGATGATTGTAATTCAATTATTACATGGAAAATAATACATTTACTCGCTTATATAATAGTTTTATATAATAATGCGCCGAAAAGCCAATTAAAATATACACATCGACGTTTTCAGCTCGCGATAAAAACAAAAACAAAAAAATGTCAAACAAACAAAACACGACCAAAATCAAAACAAAGCGTGCTTCTTTTTTTATTATTTTGTTTTATATATATTAAAAAAAAAAAAAACGAGTACGGCTTTGGATGAGCGATGGTGAAAACTATTCGGGCGAAAGGCAAAAAAAAAATAGAGTAAAAATTTATGTAACAACAAAAAAATTAGGGACGTAATAAAATTTGATAAATATGAGTAATTAATTTAGGTTTCACCTAAAAGCCATTAGTTTGTGAAATTCAGTTTCGTTTTATATCCATTATATGATTAAATGTTTCGTAATTTATATGAAAACTTGATTTTTTCATTAATCATTAATCATTTTTTTTCTTTTGTTTGAAACCGCATCAATTGAAGAATTAAAAATAATTTTCTAAATTGAAATTTTCTTAAATAGTAACCATTGTGATTGAAGCCGCACTATGAGAGGTATTGCTGCATTCCATTGTTATATTTGCAAATTAATCTACAGCAGTCATGATTAATTTCATTTGTTTTCAACAAACTGCAACTTGATGCAAATTTGACTGCAATAAGTTAACGTTATTAAATCTCATTCCATATATTTCCATTACATTTCATACTTTTTTTCTATTAAATTTTTCGCTTCTTTCGGTCTAACGTTTAACGGGAAGGGAGGGCCGATTCCGTCCGCAGCCGTTCCGAGATTAATAGCGGATGATAAAAGTAAACGGTCCCTGGTTTTCCGCGAGTTTTGATCTATAAGTTTCATATAATGGCCTTACACAGTTTTCAGTCTCGACCTGCCTGTTCTCTCTCTCTCTCTCTCTTTCATTTTCCCTATTTATTTTATTTTTTTGTTCCTTTTTCGACCCTTCTTCCACGGCTGGCACGGATTCAAAAAATTGCACTCCCGACGAAATCCGTCCCAGACATCTTTTTACACATCTTCTTCGTCTGCTTTATTTTTCGGCTGCTCCAACCACCCTCAACCCCTTTCAGCCCCGAACACTAAGTTCAGGAAAAATTAAACGCCCGCACGTCAGACGCAGCCTGCTTCTTCCCCCCAGGAAAACGAACCAAAAAAAAAAAAAAACAAAAGAAGAAAAAGCGTAGGACATTCTTCGTGGAAATTGCACAAATTCTTCTTCTCGGAACAAATAATTACAACAATCTGCATAACATTAGAAGGGAAAAAAAAAACGGAAAAGTTCGCGTTTTCTTTTTTCTCTCAACAGAATTCAAATTCTCGAGCTCGTAATTGGATTCGGTGTAAAAACAATGTACCCGAGATTATATTAAAACAAAACAGAAACGAAGTTTTCGTACTTCACTTATAATTAACAAATTTTCAACAACTCCTTTTTTTCATCTAATTATAAATAATTTGCATAATTAAACAATTTTTTTTTGTCTACAAATTATCAACTATAATCTTAATTTGAATTCAAGTTTTAATAAAGAAAGGTAATATTTGTTTTGTAATTTCTTTTGCTAGATTCTAGTGTCTAGTAAATTTTCGCATTAAAAAAACCCTTTAAGAAGGTCTGTTTTTTTTTTCTTTTTCTTTTTTTTTTTTCATTGTTACGTGAATACAGTGGAAAACCTAATCCGGGGCGACGGTAAACTGCCTTACAGAATTTAATCTCGGCACGATGCAATTCCAAATGCAATTCCGCAAAAACTCGATGGCATTACTTCTGGATTATTGCAACACACACACAATTGGATTTAAACTCGTGCACATTTAAACACACACTAATAAACTTTTAAATTAATACACGAAAACCTTTCCACATCCGCACACGCTAATTGCATTAGCAAAACAGTTATTAGTACTAGCAGGAAAATCTATTTTTTTTTTATAGAAAACTTTAAACAAATAGATTCAATTTCTATATGGGTTTAAAAACTATAATTAAGAAAATCATTTTATACGTATCAAATTCATCGCATTCACGTACATAAAGTTGCATAAGTGAATATAGCAAAATGTCTTTATAATATCGAAATTCCGACATTATTATAAATTTCTATAATATCATTTTTATGGTAGTCGGGATTTCGATATAGTCGGGATTTTGATATAGTCGGGATTTCGATACAGTTAGGATTTCGAACGTCGGGATTTCAATAGAAATATTGGTATATAAAGATATATTTTTTTAACATCAATTTTTAAACTCTTCCATTTCCGATTTGGAATTATTTTTGAGAGTGCGATAAGTTTATAAGTGAAAGAGAGCGAGAGAAAAAAAATGATGTAAAGTAAAAGTAAATTATGAAGTTTCTTCCAAACTAAAGTTTCCATGTTGGAATACTTTTCAAATAGGAAAGTTTGTCGCAAATAAAAAATATATATTTATATCAAAACTCTCGCCTATACCTTATCTTATTTTATTAATCAAACTTTATTTTCTTTTATTTAATTGAATTGCTTTAGCTAAAAAAAAATAATTGAAAAAAATAGAATATTTCGATGCTCAATCTTTATAAATTTAGCATAAAAAATTTTGTTTCCTGTTTTAAATTAATCAGGCAACATTACATACAGTATGTAAATAAAGTTGCATTTTTTAAACAGCAATTAGAATGTTTCATAAATGTTATAAATATTTTTTTGTATATTATTATTGATTTTTAGTGATTTAGACTGAAAAAAAATGCAATTATCCTGTTTAAAAATTATTAGGCAACCCAATTTACAAGCATGTTCATAAACTTGCATTAAAATTAATAGAATATCCTGTTTTAAATCAATTAGGCAACCTTACATACAGTATGTAAATAAAGTTGCATTTTTTTAAACAACAATTAAAATGTTTCATAAATGTTATAAATATTTTTTTGTATATTATTATTGATTTTTTAGTGATTTAGACTGAAAAAAAATGCAATTATCCTGTTTCAAAATTATCAGGCAACCCAATGTACAAGCATGTTCATAAACTTGAATTAAAATTAATAACATTTCTTATATAAAAAAAAAACTTAAATTACTTGAAAATATTATTTTAGAAACTCTCTCTAAAAAAAATTAATGAATAAAGTAAACACGAAAATTTAAAAAAAAGATGCTCTAATTAAAATTATTTTAATTTAATGCGCAGTTGCATACCAACGGCAATATAAAATTATGCAAATATAATTATTTATTTAATTAATTAATTAAGAAACTTAATGTTTGTTTTCTACTTAGTTCGTTCATTATAAATGAAAAGTTTGTCGATAATAAAATAGGTTGTCGGAGAGCATTTAAGGGTCGGAAAAAAAAACCGCTAATATTTCTAGTTCCGCGCGAAGCGGAAACACGATAAAGGAAGGCCGCCTCCAACAGTTCTTCCGGTTTTCAAACTAAATTCCCTCTCTCTCTCCCATTCCTTTTCAACCCTCGTTTCCTCATTATCGTCCCACCACCACCTCCCAAACAACCCCAGCCGCCGTCTTTCGCTCGTTCGTTAGTATTGATTTTCTTTCGTGCTCTCCTTTGCGAAGCGCCAAAAACTTCGGGAATTTATGGTACGCGAAAAGTTGCGAGTTCGGCAACTCGAGCAACGTACCCGATGCTCGTGCAGTTGCCTAACAACGATTTCATCGTCAATAAATATTAGATAATCCACCGCACACGCTCACTTCCGGAAAAAATCTAAGTTTAATCGATCGATTATTCTCAGGTTTAGTTACGATGTAACATTTTCATTTAAGATTTAGAAGGCCATAATTATAAGAAGATAAAAAGTATAAATAATAAACAAATGAAAGTTAAGCATTCTTGATGTTTCTTTTCAACCCTTTGCCTGTGAAGCAGTTTGACGTACGCTGTCAATAAAATTAGACTAGTGACGCCTTTTTGAAAACTAAGACTGCGTCTCCATAGTGACCATGAATATAATTATAATAGCGTTTTGGGGCGGATATATCCGCCGCAAATGGTTAAATCTTTGATTATGTTATTTATTTATTATAAAACTGTTTATAATCGATCGATTATTCTCAGGTGGTATTACGATTCGGTTAAGATTCAGTGGCCATAATCATAAGAAGATAAACTGTATAAATAAATTAAAAAATACTAACTCGGAGTCTTTCTTCTGGTTTTCGGGGATTTCGGCTTCGTAGCTGGGCATGTAAAATTGCGGTGCTCTTTTACCACCGACGATGGACAGTCGTTCTTCGGGTGTGGATTGGAATCTGCGTTCGTCGACGCGTCCGTTCTGATCTTCCGCCTTCACGTAGAGGACGTACTCCATGTCCAGCTGAAAGAGATCGGTGCCTCGTGTCCTCACGACTCCTGATCTTTCGTCCACCTCGAATCGTCCTCCCGTCCTGTCGCGGACGATGAAGTAGTGGATGTTGTGATCTGTATCTGGGTCACGGGCCTGCAGGGTGAAAACGGGCGTGTTCGGAGGCGCGTTCAGCTGCACCACGGCCTGCATCGGTAGAGGTCTGTTGATGAAGTACGGTGGTTCATCGTTAACATCCCTCACGTGGATTATAACTCTTTGATTATCAGTATCTAAAAAAAAGCGAAAAAAACACCACAATATTATACAGTTTCCATCATTAATGCAATGCGTTACAGAATGATCAGCTGTAAAATTAGATATATTAATACACTTCCAATTCATTACAAATACAGCTCAATTATTAAAAAATAAGTCAAATAATTGAAAATTCAAAAAATTAAGAAAAAAAAACTATTATTTCTATAAGAAAATCAAGCAATATAAAAGAAAAATAAATGAGGAAATTCTTGAAGAAAAATGCAATAAAATCAAACAGTTTGAAAATAAATAAACGAAGAACGGAAAAAAATAAGTGAAACGGAAACACTTCAATACAAAAATAATAAACTTTTATTTTGTACTTACAGCGTATTCCTGTGAGCGACGAAACGCAGCATGGAAATAAAATTGTATTAGTAAAAGTGGGAAATATTCATATAAAAATATACACAAAACATTTGTAATATTCACTAAATCTGACCCAGAAATTGAGACGCAGCAACGATTCGTTGGAGACGCACACATAATTAATTAATTTGACAGGTGTCATTTTCGAATTTGCATCATTTGTCGTTTTACAAAGCCTTTGCGATTTTTATTTATGATTTGTAATTATTGCACTTTATATAAAAGATGTTTTTACTTTTTCTTTTCATAGTTCATTGATTTTTAGTTATTGTAAATAAGTAAATGAAATGTAAGAAATTTAAGAAAATACGAATTTCTCACACACACACAAATGTGACAGATGTCATTTTCGAATTTGCATTATTTGTCGTTTTACAAAGCCATTGCGATTTTTATTTGTGATTTGTAATTATTGCACTTTATATAAAAGATGTTTTTACTTTTTCTTTTCATAGTTCATTGATTTGTAGTTATTGTAAATAAGTAAATAAAATGTAAGAAACTTAAGAAAAGGCGAGTTTCCTACATAAACACACACAAATGTTGACAGATGTCACTTTAATTTGACAGGTGTCATTTTCGAATTTGCATCATTTGTCGTTTTACAAAGCCATTGCGATTTTTATTTATGATTTGTAATTATTTCACTTTTATTTCAGTTTATTTGTGCTTTTTCTTTTCATAATTCATTGATTTTTAGTTATTTGTTTATTTTCAATTGTAAATTAGTAAATAAAAACTAAAGAAAAGGCGAGTTTCCCACACAAACACACACAAATGTTGACAGATGTTTCTTTAATTTGACAGATGTCATTTTCGAATCATTTGCATCATTTGTCGTTTTACAAAGCCATTGCGATTTTTATTTACGATTTGTAATTAATGCACTTTATAATATAGAAAAGATATTTTTATTTCAGTTTATTTTTACTTTTTCTTTTCATAATTCATTGATTTTTTAGTTATTTGTTTAATTTTCAATTGTAAATAAGTAAATAAAATGAAAGAAACTAAAGAAAATGCGAGTTTCTCTCACACACACACAAATGTTGACAGATGTCCCTTTAATTTGACAGATGTCATTTTCGAATTTGCATCATTTGTCGTTTTACAAAGCCATTGCGATTTGTATTTATGATTTGTAATTATTGCACTTTATAATATAGAAAATATATTTTTATTTCAGTTTATTTTTGCTTTTTCTTTTTATAATTCATTGATTTTTAGTTATTTGTTTATTCTCAATTGTAAATAAGAAAATAAATATTTCTAAATATTTCCATTATAGAAGAAAAAAACATCTTTTTCATAAGTTTATGAATCGCTGCAGTAATAGTTTCAGCATTTCCATGTGCAATTATTTATAAACACTGGAAACGCTCACTTTTTAGTTTTACAGCGAAAATTTCAGAAACTCTCGTTCTCTCTCCATATTGTGCATGTTTCTGTTGTTCGAGTCGTCAAATGATGTTTTGACTAATTCAGCCGTTATTAAAACTTGATTGCGTGCTTGCAGCGTTCGCCAAAAGCCAAACAAAAGTTCGTAGTCATAACAACTGCACTCGCACAATGCAATGCAATACCAACTGCACACACAAAAAAAAAACACAAAAAAAAAACGGCAACCTCGTTTCCTGCTGCTGTTTACTTCTGTTTGTTTCCAGTTTTATTGTACTTTTCGAAAAACAAGTCAAGTTCGAAAAACCGAGTTGATCTCAAAACATACCGATCGATTTATATAATAATAAAGAAGACAAAAAAAACTGGAATAATTATTTTATTAACTCATCACCGGTTTTTCGCAATTAATTGGATTTAATTGAAAACCGGTTTATCGGATTCGCGCGTAATTTAATTACGTAACGGATTTTATATAAATATGGATTTAGTTATTTTCATGGAGAAATCTCGATCGAAAAGTTGTAATTATTTCTTTTGCTGTTTTTATTTAAATTGTATAATATATTTAAATATAAATAATCTGATTTAATGATTTCTTTTCGCTGTTACGAGAATGAAACACGAGTTAATTATTTATACACGGCAAAATAAAGGAGATTAGCTTTAATTAATTCAAACAATAAACGTGCTAAACAGTTTTATAATAAATAACATAACGTAATCAAAGATTTAACCATTCGCGGCGGATATATCCGCCCAAAATGTTCATACGGAAAACTAGGTTTATGCTATTATAATTATATTCATGGTCACTATGGAGACAAAGCGCACGTCAAATTGCTTCATCAGTTTAACTTTTGTTACATAAACTTTTGCTGTATTCAAATGAAATTTTTTTTTGTAATTAGTTTAATTCCCTTTTTGTTTCAATTATATAAATTTTAATTGGTTGTGGGTTAAATTATGAAATGCGGGTAATTATATCACTGAAACGGTTTCAAAGATGGGGCGGAATCGAAGGATGCATGGAATGTAGGGGGCGCTCATAATTAAAGCGGAATTCCCATTATATTACATTTTGGTAATTACGGGGTATGCGGTGCACACGGGGCGCAGAAGATAACCATCGGACAAGGAACAGACTGTTTATGGTGGCAAAAGGTCAGTCTACCACCATAATCAGATTACACTTTGTGAGTCATACGTACAAATTACTCATTGCATTCAAATTAATACAAACTTGGCAAAATATAAAAAAAATTAAAGAATGCTATTAATCAGGACAACGAGAATTGATCGAAAAAACGAAACAAAGCGTCAACCCCAAAACAAACGAAAGAAAACAAAAGATGAACAAAAAAAACAAAGGCTAGACGAAACAATGTGTATCGCAGCAGCAGCAGCGCAATACGATTTAAACGTGACAAGCTGCAATACCATATTGATCATATCCCTTTAAGGGGGGAGACGGCGGATTTTTGCTGTTAGGGGATGATTCAGTCTACCAGAAGGAAAAGATAAAAACGCTTTTTTATTTTATATTAAAAACTTTTCATCGGCAGATTTCTTGATTTGCGAGTCGACGGATGAAATTGTCAATTTGCATAATGATTTATTCTAAACCCACCCTCAAAGGGATTTCTACGCGAAAGCGAAAGCGTCGAAAATAAATACAAGCAAAAAAGAAAAACGAATAAATCAAGAGCTTTCGTAATAAATTTCTGCGTCTGTTTTATGTTTATTTTAGGGTGTAGGTTTTACAAATTTCGCACTTTTTTTTCTTCTAATTACGAGGCAGGAACTGTAATTTAAAGTTTCGCGCGTTCCGTGTATTTGAGTGTGTGTGTGTGTTCAAAGCAGAGCTGAGTCGAACGTTTCGGAATTAGTTTGGTTAATTGATTTAGGCGAATTTTAGAGACTCAGCGGTTTCCGAAGGAAGATTGATCTCTGTGAGACTTGTCTGTTTCCAGCAGCTCTACAGAATCTCATTCCAACTAGAAATTCGCAATTTTCGATTGATTTCAACTGTTATTACATAATCCAGTTACATTAAACAATTGCCGCACGCACGTAATCAATTGTTTGATTAACAATAATGACATTTGTAAATAGAATCAAAGTTAAACAATATACAAATTATAGTTTTCTCATATTTAAAAATTAACGCTTTGTGGCGGATATATCCGCCCTAACACTTTACACAAGACGCTTATGCAAAGCTGCATGATATTTTTACAGTTTTACAGTTACATTAAACAATTGCCTCACGCACGTAATTTATTGTTTGATTAACAAATATTACATTTGTATATAGATTCAAAGTTAATCAAAACGCAAATTATAATTTTCTTATATTTAAATCAAATATAATAAAAAATAACGCTTTGCGGCGGATATATCCGCCTTAACATTTTACACAGGACGCTTATGCAAAACTACATGTTTTTTTTACACAATTTACCAATACTATTATACTAATGTGATCATCAATTACATTTCTTAAATTTTTATTCTTCTCAGTGTAAAAATTGAAGTTATTATTAAAGTATTCGTTCTGTAAATAATGAACAATAAAATAAAATGCATTAGGTATAATTGAATGAAACGAGAAACTTGCAGTCGTTGAAACGAATTTTTATCTTTCAGTTTGTAAGCTTAACTTAATGTAATTTAAGTTTGCTGAAACATTGAAATCGTAATGCATTTTTCATTGAAACACACTCGTACATTGTCTCAGAAGGCTTGTGGATTCGATTTAAACGCGAAACAATTGACGATTAAAGAGTTTCGCGACGGGATTAAGAAGGCGCGAATTAAGAGGAAGAAAGAAGAAAGACGGATTTATTGCATATGCAAAGAAGGAGTGAGAGTGAGAGAGAGGATGGTTTGAGCGAAGCGGTTGTAATCTGCATTGTTTCGGGCGCCTCGTCTCGATTCAATTGCAAATTCCAATCTAATTCCTGGTTTGGAACAATGAGCAAATTATCTACAGCCAACGTCTCGCCAAATCCAATTATAAATTGATACATTAGCACATCCACTCATACATGCATGCATAAAAGGGTTTGGAAGGGAGGTTTGGAAGGTTCGCAGCTCTCGCTCTCTCATAGTTGCAGCATAGATTCAATTATAACTAGAACTCTGAATAAACTCATTTTCTGGTAAATTAATTATTTGCCAACGTGGCGATGCCACGAAGAAACAAACACACAAGTTGTTGATGATGCTATTTTGTTTTTTTTTTGTTTTGTTCTTTTGTTTGTTGCTGTTTCGGAGTACTAGTCTAGGTACACCTATCCCCGAGGTTTTGATGGATTAGCCTTGTCTGAGGGCGACCGTGACACGTCTCGGGGATGTTTTGCTTCGAAACCGGATGCCGTAATTAGTAATTACTTGCCCGAGCTGTATAGTGAACATAGCGGTGGCGTGAACCCCACCCAACCCTTTAAAACCCTCCATCCTCCCGTTGCAAATGCCGAAACACTAATCACCCTTCATACCGACACAAACCGCACCGCCCCAAATACCTAAATTTCCAAAACCAATCTTGAAGTAACGGATTTCGC